ATTCCATGAACAAAAGCATTCATAAGCCAAACTCACAGAGTTGCTCTGATGGCAGTATATCTGACAACCAACGAACACCATTTGCTTTTTAACTTCACAATCTTGCAGCATAGGATGATCCAGTTTGGTATCACGCCATCTGCATGCCTTGTGTTACTGCATTGGGATGGGTGTTTAACAGCCATTCACTCAATATGCTATGATTTAGTTGTCCATTTGTTAATTTGAATGCCTTCTAGGCTTTCATAATAATTTGTCATTCATTTTGGTAAAGAAAACTTTTTTCAAGGTGTACTGTGTACCAGTCATTTTGATAGACACAGATAGGGCTTCGTGTCTGGCACATTTTTTTTTTCAAATATACAATAAATATATAGTTGAATTTATACATGAATGGGGCTCTTACTATATGGCCATCAATGTTCGTAATACGTACAATAATTTGATGGTGATAAAATGAGATAATATTTTTCAGGATTATCACTGGCCAGAGAAGACTACCAAACAGTTTGAGTTCCTAATAACATTTTTTGACGTCTTTGTGTTAAAAGTGATAAATTGTTAAGTGTCTTAATATTAGAGGATAATCTTTACAAAGAATTCAGCCAGATCAAGATTTTAGCTAAACTTTGTCATCTCTTAACATATCTCTGATTTCTCTGAGCCTCAGTTTCTCTTCTGTAGGAAACAATGCTTCTTCACACAAGATTTTTTGTGAGACTGACAAGCAGCAGAGTTCCTGAGGTTGAGAGCTAAATCTATAAAATCATAATGATATCAAGTGTAGTGTTCGCCTTCTGTGCCATGACAGGGAGACAAAGTTGGTTTGAAGCTAAATGCTGTTTTGTATTAACTAATATACAGGTGTCATAACATATCTTCTCTGTGAAGATTAAAGTGAATTACATGTAAAGCACTTAACAGAATACCTGTTATAAATATTTATCATCATTATTATTATTTGTCTTCTTAGATTTATTAAATAGTGGAAGTGTTGGGAAAATTCAAAATTAATTCTTTCAGTAGCCTGTTTTGCCTTTAAAACAGTACCTGCTTATGGCATCAGCCTTACTGTTAATTAACTGCTCGCATTCTTCTCGTTTCTGTAACTATGCTTGCTTATCCCAATAGCTACTGCACTAGCCACATGAATGCTGGGAAGATGAAACTAATTACTGCACTAGCCACATGAATGCTGAGAAAGCAAAACTTAGAGACCCCAGAAGACTCCACCTATATAAACCCCATAAGACCTAAACCTGGGGCTCAGGTCTTGAAGTGCTAGCTCATCTAGGCCTGCCAGTGTAATAAAATACCTGACTTTCCAACCCTCTGAGTGCCAACCGCTTCTCTGTTGAGTCTGGTCCATAACAGAAGTAAACTCCTGTTGCCCACAAATAATTCAAAGGATATTTCACTTGACGTATAGCTTTCTTTACTCTGTATTCTTATTGTCCTATTTCCATATTTCCCAAGATAATACTGGTCATGATCTCAGTTTCTCTATTCCTATTAATACTTTCCAAATAAATATATATATATTCAAATGAAATCCTCCTATGTTTCCTATGAACACTTTCTTCTCACTTATGTAAAATAGAAAATCTACCTATTTAATAGCATAATGGCAGGAAGTGGCATGATTTACATCTGCTGCCCAATATTCTAATCCTACATGTGATAGAGAGTAATTTACATCTCTAAAGTTTCAAAAGCAGAAATTCAGAATAATCTCTGTTGGGGCCAGTGTTCATACCCTCTGACTTCTGTTCACTGACAGACAGTTGGCAGGAATATGAAATATATGAATATACATTTTTGATCCTAGTGCATATAGAAAATTATGATGTGAGCTGAGTATATATTAAAATGAGTTTCTTTATGTTCTTAACTGTACATGGCTTTTAGGTCCTCAAAAATCAAAACCATGGTGAGAATACCATGAAAATATGTTCAAGCAGTAAATCATGATTAATTTTTATTTCAAATTCTTAAAAGTGTTTGATTTGTTAGCAGTGTCTAGCTTTGTTTCCAAATTTAATGTCAAATTTGCCAAAAAGCATAAGAGATGACCTATGTACAATATAGACACTATCTACACATTAATAGACAAGGAAGGTCAAATGGGACAAAACAGACCCTAAAGCAATCTGTGAGACATGCTCCCGATATGTACAGCATAGTTCAGTATTTTATTTCTGCCCTCCACAGAAAATAGTACTATTATAAATACTCATTGTGTATTGATTTATTCAAACCATAAACATTTGACATTGTTATTCAATAAAGTGTGGCATTATCATTAAAATTTAGCATCACTTGACATTTTTGAAACACAATAAACTGTTATATAGTAACGAGTTATAAGGTACTGCATTACACAAATGTGACAAAATGATACAGAAAACATATCTTACATACAGAAACCATATTTGTTTTATAATTTGAATTATTCAAAGAATAGTTTGCCTTCCAGAAATCATAGATTTTTAGTTTGTAGAAAATCAAAGAGGAGTCTAAGTTTTGTCTTTAGCCTGCCTTTTAAAAATCTTCATTGTTGGGCCACTTTTCTCTTGAAGTCATAATCCCATTGGTAAGTGATATTGAATAGCTGATGACTGATTCGGAGAACAAAGTGAATTTAGGGAATAGCAACTATGAATAAGTTGCATTTATTTATACCTTCTATATGCTAAGTTCTGCTTTAGGCACTTTACATCTCTGAACTTTTTTTTTTATTTTTTAATTTTAACTTCTCAATATACGTTGTAGTTGATTTTCATGTCCCTTTACCCGTTCCTCTTTCCTCCTCCTTCTCTCCCCTCCCCTTGTCTACATCATATCTGTTCACTTGTCCTAACAAGTTCAAGGAATTGTTGTGATTGTTGTGTCTTCTTCCCCCCACACCATTTTTTGGTTTGAATATTTATTTATTTTTAGCTCCCACAAATAAGTGAGAACATGTGGTATTTCTCTTTCTGTGCCTGACTTGTTTCACTTAATATAATTTTCTCTAAGTCCATCCATGTTGTTGTGAATGGTAGAATTTCATTCTTTTTTATAGCAGAGTAGTATTCCATTGTGTAGATATACCACAGTTTCCTTATCTACTCATGTTTTAAAAGTACCTCGTACCAGCTAATTAGGTGGTGTTATTTCCATTTTATCTATAAGGAAACTATCCCAATTAAGGAGTAGAAGAGGCTTTCAAACCTGATTCAATTCCACTCAACTCTAATTTCTCTCTCTAAACAGTAAACAGTTTTATATCTACTGTTTAATATACTTACCACCCACAATATCCTACATATTTATTTTTTTATATTGCTAATCTACTAATTTTACAAAAATTATAAAGGGAAATACTGTGTCAATGATTACTTATGTGGTGCAATTTTTATCCTTTAAGGACAATATTCAAAAAATATCCTAAATAAGATGAATGAGTAGCTTCATGCTAATAAATAGTATATAGACCAGTTTTCCAGCTGTTTATTTTATTCCTGTCCCCCTTGGGAGTTTTCTTAGATTTTTTTTTTAATTACCCCGCCCCTTTACTACCACAGATACTCTGTATATATGTTTATGCACCGTATCTCTTTGGGAGGGCCACAAACCATTATGATGTCTAAGAAATTTTTCTTCCTCCAAGAATTAATTTTTGCTCCCTAGGGGCATCATTACTGTCATTGAGAATGCATAGTATAGACTAAGTTCTAAGCCAGCCAGCTATAGTCTGATATGACAGTCATTAATGAGGTGTCACCACTAGACCAGCAGCATAGTACCACCAGGGAATTTGTTAGACGTGCAGATCCTCAGACCCCAACCAAATCTACAAAATTAGAAGTTAGAATTAGGAATTCTGGGGGTTGGTCCATGCAATCTGTTTTAACAAACCCCCAGGTGATTCTGATGTATGTCAAAATAGGAGCCACTAGTTATTGGATAGATTGCAGAGAGATGGGTCTATGGTTTGATTACAACATTAACCATATTACTTTATGTTTCAGTTTTTCTATACTGATGTAGCCCAGGTAACTCTTGGTTTGAAACTTCACACACATAACCTTCTCAGCCTCACTCAGGGATCCTACTGAGAATATGCATGGCCTCCATGGGGAATGGAAAGAATGAAACTGGACATCCCTAACTGCTTCAGTATGACATTTTTACATTTTTCCAAAAAGAAAAAAACTAGTTCAACATACTAGGTCAGATTACATATACAAAGGTCTGGATTTCCCCAAAAACAATGAGTGGAAAAATAAGCAAATGAGTAAATATTAACATTGTGCATTGATGGGCATCCTATTATGGATTTGAAAACAAAAACCAAGGTATCTGGATGTTATCACAGAATGAATTATGTAAGAGATGGGGAAGAACTGGGAATTTGTCAGGAGCAGCATGCTTCCCTTCTTAAAATTTTCATTTATAATATTTGCATCTTGTGTTTTTATAAAAGGAAGAATAAATGTTTTTTTATTTCTTAGTTCTAGAGAGTTTCTCTTGTCTTTTCTCCTACCTACCATTCTAATCATGTACTTGCACAGATTGGCTCACCCACTTTATTGACTTTTTTCCAGCTTAGATATATGCAGCCTGGTAATAAACAGAAGTATTTATTTTCATATGTGGCATGATTAAAAAAGAAAGCTTAATCTACAGATATAAAAGCATGAGGAGATAAGGCTACTATAGTCAGAAACCTCATGCAATACCAGCTGTGTAGAGCATGTAAATCTTAAAATTTGAGAAATACCTGATGATGTTATGATCCATAAACTTCCTCATCATGACTCCAATTCTTGACTCCCCTGAGTTGGTAATTTATGAAATGTAATTGGCTGATAACTGGAATTCAGCTATGGGAAAGAAAAAGCTTCATGTTGATTTAAACATCATAAGCTTTAGCATGTATAATAGAATTAAAAATCAAATATGGTATGAAATAAGAAACACTGCCATGTTTTTTTCTGTGTTCTGTATTGTTTTAGATGGAGCTTGCTAAGGAAGAGAAGTGTGAATTTTTGCCTTTTCTATCCCCACGGAAGGTTTTAGTAAAAGGTGGGAGAATTGTGGCTATGCAGTTTGTTCGGACAGAGCAAGATGAAACTGGAAAATGGAATGAGGATGAAGACCAGATCGTCCACCTGAAAGCTGATGTAGTCATCAGTGCCTTTGGTTCAGTTCTCAGTGACCCTAAAGGTAGAGTGCTCGGGAGCTATGCAGTGGTCTATTATTTTAGTGCCATAATAGTTTCCAGCTATCAGGGAATTGTTTTTCACTTTAACATTTCATTTCCCTTTTCTAGTACAAAGTGCAAGCAATGATTAAAGAGGCTTAGAAATGGTATTTGATGCTTATACAGAATTATTTTAAGAGTGGTGAGGATTGAAAAGAACATTAATCTTTCCTTTAAGCTGATAACTGAAATATATATTCTACTATATGATAATGTTTGCTTTGTATCCTGTATAAGAATGGCTTTTTTTCCCCCCCAATTACACTAGAGTAAGAAAATGTAGCAGAGAAGGTGGAACAGCCAGTCTTCACTGAATCACACAAATTAGGGTCTAATGAATAGACAAAAGTAGAATTCATGTCTATTACCATCTGCATGCCAAACCATCACTATAAAAAATCAAAACGATCAAATTAGAAATTTTGAACTCCTGTTATTTCACCTGGTTGACATAAATGGACATGTTAAGGGAGAAGGAAATGCTTCGATCAATTAAGATTACTACACACAGTGTTTTTGTGGGCCATTGTACATAAAAGCTTAAGTACCTCAATCCCTTCATTTTGTAAATTCTGTACCTTGTAATTCACACTGAATTGAAATGACAATGATCTCTTTTACTTACTGAGAGAAAATAAAAGATATTTCTCTAGGTGAAGATTCATTGAGAACAACAACAACAGCAGCAAATCTAAACCTGGTGATTCCTGTCTATGATTTCTACTGTAGTCATGTGAAAATTACGTTTTGTGTCTGAAATAGGAAACGATATGTGCATGCAAATCTACATTTTTATGCCACAGATAAGTAAAAAAATCCAACCAGTCATCAGGATATTTTATCTGCAGGACATCAAACATCTTGGTATTTGGAAACATCCAGATGTTTAATGTCATCAAGAAAAATGTTTTCAAATAGCTGGATGATGGCCTGAATTTGTCACTTTTCATCTAGATGTTTATGTGATATGTAGACACAGTCACAGGATGGTTTGTTTATTCATTACTGGGTTCAGGAAGGAAAAAAAAAAGAACAGTGTGCAAATTGAATTTCTGTTGTCTAAAAAAATCATACTGTTCCTAGTACTCTGCATGTCACCAAAAATTGAATAAAATGTTCAATCATGTTTAACTAGCAATTCTGTTGATGATTCGCCTATCAAAAAATAATTTAGCTTACCTATCTAAATTTATGTTCCACAACTGGAAATTCTAATATTAAGAAAAATGGTTCTTTTTCTAAACAAATCTAAGTAGATTTGACTCAGAAGATCATAGAAAACAGCTTTTGCAGTCTCAGATGCAATTTTGGTAAGCTTCTGCATGTGTGTGTGTTTGTGTGTGTGTGTGTGTGTGTGTGTGCGCGCGCGCATTTGTATGTATGTGTGCGAATAGTAAAAGATTTGATTTAATATTTAAAATATGAAGTGGAAGAAAATTAGATTTATTTAAGTTTGTTGGACAAAGTCATTCCAGAATTTAACTGTGTGTGTTTCTTCCTGTACTTCACCTGTGTTATTCCTCATACATTTAGAGAAGCCAAGGAAAAAGTGGTTTTTTACTATGCTTTATTTTGCTCCTCCTGATTTGAAATAAACTGCCTGGAGAGATTATCCTTAATTAGAATTACTTGCTTTACCAGGGCCCCTCCATGTTTACATTAATCAGAAATTACTTTTCAAGTGAGAGGGAAACTGGAAGAGCTGGGATGTTAGAAAGCATTTATTCCTCCAGTACCGGCAAAATGTTTTCAAAGTTTTGGGGATAGAAAATGTTAAAGAAATGGGTTGGATGACACAATATTTGTTAGAAATTGATCAATAGGATCTAACCCAAGTGGCATTTAAAATCTTAAAATAATAATTTCAAACTCATAAAACTTTCTTACGCAAACATCTATTTAAAGTATGGTGAAAACCAGTTAACTGGAAGCAATTTGGACATTTGGGTGAGAAGATTTTCATGTTATCCCTCTTCTGCCTTAAATCTTGTCCCATCCTGGGCCGGCCCGGTGGTGCACTGTTGTCAGAATTAAAATGAAATAATATGAAAGTGCTTTGGAAACAAAACTGTAACACGTTATTATTGTTTATTACCCTCTATTTCCTTGCTTTTCCTTGTAACTATTCCTTTTCCAAGACTATCACCAACTGCTTTTCTACCTCTAGCTTATTACTTTATTGTACTTTCCAAAGTTCAGACTTTGCCCATTTTCTCTTCCTAATGTTTATTCATTCAGTGAACTGATTGTCTATTCATTCATTCATTTACTGATACATGCATTCATTTCTCAAAAATATTAATGAACTTCTTCTGTGTGCCAGGTAGTAGGCACTGTTTCACTTCTGTGTAAAATGACTCAAATCTAGTTCCCCACTCTTCATGTCTCAGAAGACTTCCTTTCATCCCATATTCATGCTCATGCATGTGACAAACATTTACTGAGTATACACCTGCCAAATTGTGTTCTGTAGAGTACAAAGATGAATGAGTCGTTCCTTGTACTTTAAAACCTCACCGACTTGGGGTGGAGGCAGACCTATAAACAACTAATTGTGGTAAAAAATGAAGAATACATTAAGAAAGATACTCGCAAAGTGAGGACAGTTCACTTTATCGGATTTCCTGAAAGCAGATGTGTTGTCAGTTTTGCTGTTATTGTACATGGTACCTTAGTTCTCCCCCTGGCCAAAGTTCAAAATGTTATCCCAGATTCAAATTTCTAATTCCAGTTTTTGTTTTTATTAAATTTGCCAATATTACCCTATACTATAGGATAAAACTCCCATTCCTTAACACCTGGGAACTTCAGTGAATGGCTGTATTTACAGTATGTATCTAGCTTTATTTTCTGCTGTTCTCTATTGAGTTATTCCCCCCCAGTATCTAACACAGGGTGGATTCTATAGTGATAACTTGGAAAATCTTTGGTGAATGAATTACATAATATATGCTAAAGAATTCAAGGAATAAAATAAACTTGACAGAGTACATATAAAGTACGGTGATAATTTATACTCTCAGCAGTCTCTAGTAACAATAATATTTTTAATGAAAATACTTTTATAGTCTCAATCATATCAACAATATATTTTTGAAAAGACAACCTAAGTTGGGAAATTTAAAGGAAATTAAATTCTTAATATCAGTTTTTTTCTTCATATATTGTATGACTCTTGGAATTGTCTTAATTTGTGCATTTTAAAATGGAGAATATGGGGCCGGCCCGGTGGCGCGCTTGGGAAGCACGGCGGCGCTCCCGCCGAGGGTTTGGATCCCGCATGCAGACCGGCCACTCACTGGCTGAGCGAGGGGCGGGAGTAGCGCCGAGGGTTGCGATCCTGTTGCCGGTCCCAGTCCGGTACGGGCGCGACACTGAGGGTTGCGATCTGTTGCCGGTCACGAAAAAAGACAAAAAAAAATAATAATAAAGGAAAAAAATAAAAAATAAAAATATAAAATGGAGAATATAAAATAACTTTATTTAGTATTTTGCACCTAGTACGGAAAAAAAAATAAAAATAAAAATATAAAATGGAGAATATAAAATAACTTTATTTAGTATTTTGCACCTAGTACATATGTAATAACCATTTCCTGTCATACAAATGATAAGTGCCTCAACAGCCTACAGAAAAGATAAGTATATCACATTTATAAAATAAATTTGGATAATATTCTTGGATTATAGTTGCTAATTAGTTTATTGCTCCTAAAGCTAATAACAATTATAAGTAATCACTATTATTTTAGCTAATTCTATTTTATTTCTCTCTTTCTTTGGATTTTAGCAGGGAATGGGAAATTGAAACAAATGACTGCATATTCCACATCCCTGTGCATGGAATTTATGTGTGGTTATGGACACAATTTGATTGAATCCTTCATGAACTACTGTCCCAAATTCTAAAGGCAGTGGTGTTCAATTTCTAATTCAATTGAGATATCCTTAGCCTTATTTAATATCTTTTCTGTGAAAAATTCAAAGTGGTTCCACCTTTTAAAAATTTTCCTCTATTTCCTCTTAACTATGTAAGATTCAAAATCACCTTAAATTGGGATTTTATTGCTCTAGATTGATTTTAAATTCTATCAAAAAATTAAGGGCAAACTACCTCTAGCTGGCATTTATATTCCACAAATATTCCCCATTCTTTGGAAATTTCCATTGATTAATTTTAAAATATGTATTTCCCAATATAGGAAGTCTCCTACTAAACACTAATGTCAATGTTTATCAAACTGAATTTTATCTCTTTTTGTTTCTTGCTTTTTTTATAATTTATCCTCTCTTTTCTTTTGGAACCAAAATGACAGTTATGATGTGTGAATGTCTTTTCTGTTAGTTTTGAATTGACGAGGAAACTCCTTTACCATTTTCACCAACCTCACAGCTTCGCTTTTTAAGGCAGTAAGGTTGGCCTAGGAGAGCTTCGTATTCCTAGGAGAGCTAGAGGACATAATTTTATGGTTCTTTGAATATGCTTTCCGAGAGCTGAAGGAATGCACTGTCGCCCATGCCGTGACCTCTGTGCCTCTTCCATATACTGTACCACAGTCATCCTCTTATTCTTTTGAAATGTCCACTTTGAAAAGATTTATGTCCTCTGATCTTCCAGAACCTATTATAATTTATCTTCAAATTAGACTGTAAACCCCAAGAGGGCAAGGATTGTACCTTTATAAGTAAATTATAGTTCCAATAGCAACTGACATGTTAATGTGCCCATAATAGTTGCACAAATATATTTGTGCATCTGATTTCACTTGATTTATGTCAGGATATTAGTTTTATTACAGATAGTTGTTATATTATTTCCTACGATTTGGTTTATTTTTCTTGAAATGTAAAAGTTGGAAGAATAATTCTGCTATTCTGTTGCTATTGGTTTTTTCTTTGCTTTGGCATAAGTTGTTACATTTGTTATAATTTAATAAATATTACACTAATTGGAGTCTGTCTG